TGTTCTACCCGTCCATAGAGTTGAAGAAGAAGATTCTTGCCCTTTCCATTGTGTCAATCATGCATGCAGAGTAGATAATCAAAGACTGTCAGATGGACTTTCAACGGTGCGATGATGGTTATTTTGGGATAGTCCGTTGGACATGAAAGTGAGTGTATGCATTGGGTCAAGCCTGTCAAATGAGAAGGACGTGCAACATGTCATTTACACGTTGGTTCTGAAATTAACTTTCCACATATGTTGTACCCGTCCATAGAGTTGAAGAAAAGATTCTTGCCCTTTCCATTGTGTCAATCATGCATGCAGAGTAGATAATCAAAGACTGTCAGATGAACTTTCAACGGTGCGATGATGGTTATCTTGGGATAGACCGTTGGACATGAAAGAGAGTGTATGCATTGAGAAGCGAAGGAAGCGTGACAGGGCATAATCCACCGACTTGTCCTCTCTGCCGGCGCGGCGCCTCAGCCTTTTGTGCTTTTGCTTACGTGACATATCAATCTACGAGAAAGAACGATATGATCGACATGGCGTCATTCTTGCCAGCATATACATTTGCCCCTCACCTGTACCTGTCAAAATTGCCATCGTTTAGCGTTGTGTGTCTTTAAGGCTTGCAATTGAGCAGCATGACTGTTGTTATTTGAGAGGCATCACTTGAAGTTGCAATGAAGGTCTTGTTTTCGACATCATCATCGACGTCAAGGCCATAATCTGCAAAAAGTTATTCTACATGGTAGCTTTGTGTTGGATAAAGAAGATTTTCATTGCAATCCTTCTCTCAATATTTAGACTACAGTCTCTTCTTGACTTTGTACTTCCCATGAACAAAATTGATCGATCCTGATAATAGTAGCAGTTTACTAACGATCGAGAGGAAGAAAGTTACCAACAATTGCATAAGGAATGCCCCAAGCATCACGTCGAATCGTGAAAGAGAAACAGCAAGATAGATATTCATCCTCGATGGCTTTTGGCGCTTCAATGCCTTCTTCGATTATGGAATGCGTTTGATCGGCTTTGTTTGCTGTTGCAGTGTTCTCTTTCGCCAGATCACATCGTACATTCGTTGATTTTGACTCTTGATTCGTTAAAGACGACGTTCTGGTCATTCCGACCACTGGAGTTGCATTGTTTGAGATAGATGTGCTCAAAGTCCCACTTCTGCTATTCTTCTTTCTTTGATTTGTACGTAAAATGCAACTTGTCAGCACTGCTTTTTGACCGGGATCAAAGCAGACCGCACCATACTTTTCCCAGTAATTTACTGCACTTTCTTCTTGCATCAATTCATAAATCGTACAACATCCTTCACGTAGTTCATCAAAGTTTACGCCTACCAAATCGGCGAATTCTTTATTACCTTTGTAGATTTCACCTGTCCTTCTCCAAAGACAAGCAGGTATCCCTTGTGTTGAAAAGACGCGATCATAATCTAACAAAAGACGCTCGAAAGCCTCTTCGATGAAGATCAGATCAACATTTGTCAACCTCTGAGCCACTGCTCGAAAAGCGGGTCGAAAGATCGAAATTGGCTTCAATATCCTTCTTCTGCTAGATTGTGAACAATTTTGTTCCATCCACCTATTCAATCGAGCATATCCATTGACATGATTGTATGGTCGCAAAAGGCCTGCATCCAATTTCGCTTGAATCACACGTCCTAATCGTTCGTCTCGCGTTCCATCCTTTTGATCAGCTGCGGTCAAAAAGAATGTATCTGCTTTATTGGCACCAGCGACGAGAACTGACGTATCCGCTAAGCTTGCTCGGCGATCCCTATTACGGTGCAAGGCTTGCGTTGCCTGGACACCCGTTCCTGTATTTGAACCGTTTGTTGCGTTAACTTCATCAGTTTGTCCAACATCGCTTTGATCGATTTCATCCCGTTTCCCGGCCAGGTTTGACGATAATGATTGATTTTGATTCATAGGGTTCGATGCTGGCATAGGAGTTGAAGGCATGCCATTCTGACCATCTAGCGATTCAAGAAATTCGCTCAAGATGTTATATTCATTACCACCTGCTGCATCCCCGTTGGCTGAATATCCGTTTCCTGCACCTGCAAGGTCCCCTCCTCCCAAGCCTAAGAAGCTTGCTCCTCCTAGCATAGACGCTGCTGCCCAATTTGGCGTCACAGACGGTATAGCGCTATTCATCATTTCATTCGGTAAAGCCATACGCATTTGTGGTAATTGTTGAAGACCATTTCCGACGTCAATTGGTGTCATACTTCCGCCGTTCAGCATTGGATCTGCTCCATTCGTACTGCCTCCCAATACGTTCACAATTGCAGATGGAGGTAAGGGTTGAGCATTTGGTCGATTTGATCCTTGTCGATTTGGAGATGGATTTACTAAAGGTTTAGAAGTTGGAGTTGAATTATTACTGATAATACTACTACTCCTTCGGGCTGCATTAGAAGAGGAAGCGTTTCGATTGGTTGTTTCGTCGTGACAAAGATGTCCTATATCACGTTTGATACTGCATCCAAGTTTTGAATTATAAGTTAATCATATGCTATCCACATTTAGTCATTTTATACTCACCATCTTTTGCATGGCCTTCCATCATCGCATGTCATATGACTTCTTCTACAATAAATGCAAGCCATTCCCACTTTTCTGCGTTTATTGTTCGATTGTGTATCATTATTTGTTAATTTTGACGAAGAAGCAACTTGCGATGTTTTATGATTACCTCCTTTGGATGATGAAGACGTGATTGTATGATGATTATTTGATTCTGCTTTTGTACTTGCAGCCATGATTGTTGTTATAGTGGATGATGATTGTTAATACATCATCATATCATTCTTACCATTTCCGCTTATTTGAGAGTTGAAAAAGTCGCGGGGATATTTGCAATCATGCATACAACGCGTCAAGTTACATTACAATGTAATACATTATCATTCATTGCCCTTAATGCCCCGGTGGAAAAGTTTAACTTGTGCATGCATGGGGGGTGTACCTGATTATGTTTTGCGCAGCGCACGTGTACAACAAGGGGAATCTCATTGCCATCATTTCATTCTATTCATCTTCCAATATCATCTTTTCTTTTCTCTTTTCAGCATATCCTTTATGATCTCCCTATAGCATCAAGAAAGATTAACAAAAATCATGAAATTCGGCAAATCGTATATGGAAACTTTGGCAAGTCCCTCTTTTCCAAAAGAATGGCGGGAAGGCGCAATCGAATATAAACAATTAAAGAAATTGATTAATGGCGTAGTTGCTGAACTTGAATCTTTAGGTTTAGGAGCAGATGTCTTACGTGATCTGATTGTTCCAAATGGTGAGCAAGATCTCGAAAGCGAAGTCAAAAGTGGCTCGGACGAAGATGAACCTTTGGAAAGGTTACAAGATGATAATGAACAAGTAAATAGTAGAGATAAACCCGCATTAAACATTCTTGACGTTTACGATCGGCCTTCGGATACATCTATGGACAGAAACGAAAATAATTCTTCTAATTCAATCAATCATTATCGACATCTACAACGAGGAGATTCATCTTCACACGACATCAGTCTCGGTAGTAGCGCGGATGATTGCGATGAATGCGCCAAAGATTTACTCCGTCATACTTCCAAGAATCAACATACAGATTCACCTGCAGCTGATTGGGTTGCGCATATTGCACATGCTAAACATTCGAGGGCACGTAGACGGTCAAGTCGTAGAGAAAAGTCACCTCTGAATGAGAGGGAGGACAAAAGCAATAATTCGCAATTCCTTGATGCAAATCCCACAAAATTTCTTCGACCATCGACAGCTCAAAGCGCCCCGTTATCTACTTCTTTTGATGGGTCTGCCATTCATTCAGATACGTATCCTGGTCAAATAACAAGTGGAGATGATAGCGGTCAGCCGGCGGATCACCGACCACCAAATCGTATGGGAAAAAAACAACTGGAAGAATTACGAAGACGATACAGCTCGGTAGATGGCATGCATTCTTATCGTGCTAGCAACGTGAGTGCAAACAGCAAAGCGAAAGATCGTGTACACGATTGGGGTGGTCATGCGTGGCGAGAACGTGCATCTTTGCCGATCAAAGCGAATGATGGAATAACTGCGCAAAAGAAGACATCGGGAAAAGGACATGTGAAACGATGGGTGATGGGCAAGGATGGCAGAAGAGCTAGAGCAGAATACGAATTAGGAGGTACGAGTGAAAAGCCAGTTCCTCGGATTCGGTTGTATGTTGAATCACCCATTCAATCTGATGATGAGGTTGATGATGGCGGTGAAGCTGATTCGGAAGGTGAAAGTGAAGATGACGCAATTGAATCAGATAAGGAAGTAGAGAATGATGATGATAATGCCGCAAGGTTCACGGAACTAGGTAACTCACCTCGTGGTAGTATTGGATCAAGTACGATCAAACCTTTGCAAGGACATCCAAGATCGCCAATCATAAGATCAACGAACGAAAACGGCGGAAAGAAACGGGTACGCACGCGTGAGATCATCATTCCTTTAAATGCGGACACTGAATTCCTTGATACATTAACGGGAGCTTTGAGTAATCTTTCTTCTTTGCAAGAAACACAAAGAAAAGAGTTTCAACGAAGCACGGAAGCTCTTTGTAGTGCTGTATCCAAAGTTGCAAGTCCATACGGAAACAAGAATGATTTGTATGCATGGCGTGAAATTTTCTCATTATGGTGCGAATTGCAAATCTTTGAATCCCAACGTGAAAAGGATCGTGGAGAGTTGAGCGTTGATGAAACGGAAGCAAGACTTAAAAAGTTTGCAGAAGAATTGGCAAAACGTGGATGGAATACTGAAGCTTTTGCGATGGAAGCAAGTCAAAAGGAATTGAAAGGAGATGCCTCTGTCCAAAAGAAGAAAGGCAAATTTGCCGGCAAGTTGACAAAATGGAAAAGTGAAAATAACAAAACTACTGCAGGGGCATTGCCGATGAAGGATGCTAAAAGTATTGCTGCTTTGGAAGATTTCATTAAGCTTAATTTGGCCCTTTTGGATGTGAAAAAGTTCCAAAGGGTCAACATAGAAGCGGCACGGAAAATATTGAAGAAGCACGATAAACGGACAGCATTAACGGCAAGTAGCGACTTAGGCATTTTTGTCGAACATGAAGAAAGGATGAGAAAAGCTGCTGCTTCTGCTGCTGCTGGAGTGGGAATTTCAAGTTTGGTCAATATACCAGAACAAAGTGTTGCTTCCAATCATGCCATCATCTCTTCTCATGGAGCTTCTACTCATCCATCATTGGCTGCTCTTTTGCCTTCTTCAACTTCAGCTCTCATGTCAGCCTCTTTGCCGCACATCCTCCTTTCACTCATGACGACCGAGCTTTTACCAATCCTTCCTAGCATTGACGATTACAGTTGCGCAATCTGTACAGGTGTTGCATGGAGACCGATCAAATTGGACTGTGGTCATTTGTTCTGCATTCGTTGTTTGGTAAAGTTGCAAAAGCAAGGAAAGAATGATTGTCCGATGTGTCGTGCGCCGGGTGCGGTCGGATCGGCAGATGAGAGAAACATGGATGCGGAAATGGTGGATTATTTACGTGATTGGTTTCCAAAAGAAGTGGATGAAAAGGATAAAGAGAACGAAAGGGATCGTCACAAAGAAGAGATGTTAGAATTGGGTCTAGCATTAGAAAATGAGAAATGCAACATCATGTGATAGAATACTATTCTTTCTTTGTTGCATATTATTGTCACGTTATTCGGATGGACTACAAGATTATCCGATCCTGCTCGAAATGGTTGTGTTTGTATTAATGGAATATTCATGGATGCTCTTGATTGGTGTGTGATCAAAATTACTGCGGTTAAACAACACAGGATGTCATCACCGAAGTCGAATTAGCAGTGTTACTTTTCAGCACTGCCTTTCATAATTTATCCTTTCGTGTTTGTTGTACCTATTATACGATGGTCAATTGCTTATCTTCAACATGTTCTCAAGATGAAGTTACTCATGGGGATGAATGATGTTATCATTACAAGCGTTGAGCCAATGAAATGTTCGGGCAACGTTTGCTGCAGCTATAACTATTAACAAATCGACACTGCTCTAACGCCTTTGTGATGTAAAAATGCTATTCAATGCATTACACCGCTGTTGGATAAATATAGTTACTATGTATGCAAGCCTCTCCTCCAGATCTAAATGCAAGCAAGAATGAAATCTTACGCGCGCGCGTGTGTGTGTGTGTGTGTGTGTGCTGCAGCACTGCATGCCGACTGCATCTTGACATAATGTAAAAACGGAACGGAAATACCCTTGATAGCCATCACGGCAGTGTTTTATCGTAATCAAATTTTGAGATAAACTTAAAAACACTGCAATTTTGCCTCGCCAGCTCAAAAGCGGGTTTATCACGCGTTAGGCAGTGTAAAGCAGGAAAAAGAGAAGAGAAAAAAAAATGCAATTCTGTTTGACAAAGAATGGTATAAAGCAGGAAGGACCATTTAAGAGGTGGAGTCCAGTTTGAGTCTTTAATCTCTTTGTTTCTTGGTCACCATCACCATAGAAAGGCAAGTCTGCTTCTTTTTGCTTCTTCTTCCTTTTTTCCACGCTCTGAATGCTTATCAGTATTCGGTAACGCCATTTTCTCGGCCCGAAAGAAATCGGTGGAGCTCTTGATGGCTTCTACAGAAGATCGAACGAATACTTTGGATAGTACATATAAAGATCTAAGCAAAAGCAGAGGAGAGAATTCAATCAGTACCCAAAACCAAGAGAGACTTTCGAATGACGATATAACACAACCTCATCCTTTGGCAGAAAGTCTGTCAAAGGTGAATAGATTCGAAAGCAAACGTTCAAACGAATCTAGATCGGCCAATAATGGAACTTCACCTTCGGAAGGATCAGGTTATGAGGATATGGAAAAAGTGCCAAGTAGCGGTCAGCATTCATCGGCAGACGAAAGAAGAGTAGAAGGAAGTCAAAGCAACGTTGAAACTCAGCATGATGGTTTAAAGCGGAGACAATCAACTATTTCCAATATGGCAGTCAAAGCTCGCAAATCCGTGCCAAGTTTCTTGAAACCAAAAAAAGGCTTCCTTCGATGGTGCAGTTGCATTGCTACGTTTAGCAAGCAACATTTGAATTTTTATCGAATTCATCTATTGGTATTCACCTTCACACCTTTGATCTTTGCTGGAATCTTTTATGCTTCAAATACGAACCAGATTGCATTCATCGATTGTTTGTTCCTTTGCGTTTCTGCGATGACTGTTACAGGATTAGCAACGATTAACGTTAGCACTTCGACAGCATGGCAACAAGCTATCCTATTCTTTTTGATGGCTATCGGCAATATCACCGCTGTTTCCGTCACGATGATCTGGATCAGAAGACACTTTTTTCGTGTCAAATTTGATACGATTATCAGAAGGAGCGCAAAAGCTCGTCAACGAATGAACGATGTTGAATTTGCACATCAAAAGCAAAAGCGAAAAGAACTGATCAGGTTGCAAAGGCTGCTTGGGTTGAGAAAGAGAGGCAATGATACCGCAAACGAAGAGGAGGTCGATCTGCAGCATTTACACAATAAAGCAAATAAAAGGAACAAATTAACTCCTCGCAGTAGTGCTTCGACTGATGAACTCGCCGAAGCAGAATTAAAAGCCGAAAGAGCAGCTCGAAAGAAGGAACGTCAGCGTAAGAAACAACAAGGTCCTTTACGTGCAGATATGATCAGAAGAATGGATCAACCTGCCGTTCTTATCAATCCTATGGGAGCGATTTCGCATAAAATTGGTGAACCGGAAAGGGGAACGGAAACGGGAATTGATGCATCAAATGGCGGCAACGGTGGCGGTATCTTAAATACAAACGGAAGCGGAGATGACAATGGTATCACGGATGGTGAAGCGAGTGTAAATGTACCAAATATACGCATTGCAGAACCCAGCCTTTCACCTGCGCATTTACGTCGAGCTTCAATCATCGATTCCTCTCAAACTCAACAATCGCCATCTGGACGACAATCTCCCGAAAGTTTGATCGAAGAAGAGGGAGAAAGGATGCACTCCGATATTCGATCGAGGAATGGAGAGGATGATGTGCCTCTCGAGTCAAGCGGCGGAGCAAGTAGCCCAAAGAATACGCCAAATAGTGCTGATGCAATACGATCACAAATGCGAACCAGATTCGCTGACAATCATCAAAATGCTGACATTCTGCAACGTTCACGAGGGGAGTCCGATCCACCTTTACCGTTGCACTACGTCCATCACCGTCATGGATCAGAAATTCATTCTACTAGACCAACTCATTTACGAACGGATATGTTTCCTCGCGCTCAAACGATCGAATTTGCTGAACCTCCTTTGCAACCACATGCCCATTCCTCAAGTAGTGCAGCAGCAAGATCAAGTTCCATCGCCAATCCGCTTAGCCCTAATAATCATTCGTTCGGTAGTAATGATCATACATTGCGCTATCGTACTCCGACTATCGGTAACGAATTCGAACGTACACCTACTATGATCACTCAACGGTCAGGTACATACGGCGGTCAACGAAGAATAGGCGCAAACGGGATTCCAATCACACGAACGCATACTAGCTCGAAAGAGAGAGGTTTTGGAGGTTTTCCAACACCGATCGAATTAGCAGGAGCAGCAATCAAACGTGCTCTGCCACAGGTGCAAGAACGATTCAAACGGTCTACAACTATCCCACGAACAGCAACTTTTATTTCCGTTCAGTCGATGGGCGAAAGTGGCTTGGATGGTGGTATAACAAGGTCGGCGCCTTATCTCACTTTTGACGCCACCGTTTCTCGAAATTCACGTTTTCATCAATTGACCGAAGCTCAACGTGATGAGTTGGGTGGCGTAGAGTATCGTGCGATCGATATGTTGGCAAAGCTACTTCCGATCTATTGGTTCGGGGTGAACATTTTTATGATCATCTTAGTCGCACCATGGCTAGCAAGCAGCGGAGCCCAAAAGGTACATGATGTTATCGCTTCACAAGGTGTTAATGCGCCAAATACCACCTGGTTTTGGTTCTTTCAAGTGATCTCAGCGTACAGCAATACCGGACTGTCTTTGATTGATACAAGTATGATAAATTTGAACGATCAATATCTCATGTTGATCCCAATCGCAATTTTGATCTTGTTCGGCAATACAGCATTTCCGATCGTACTACGATTTATGATTTGGATCTTATCTCTATGCGTTCCGAAAAAAAGTAGAACATACGAAACTTTACGATTTTTACTGGATCATCCAAGAAGATGTTTCGTTTACCTCTTTCCTTCTGCGCAAACTTGGTTTTTGTTTGCCATCTTGTTGGTTCTCAATTGTTTTGATTGGATTATGTTTCAAGTTTTGGATTTGGGTAATGAAACAATTGAAGCATGGACCGTTGGCGTTCGGATCTTTGATGGATTATTTCAATCTATCGCAGTCCGTGCAGCTGGATTTCAAATTATCAGTTTATTACAATTAGCACCTGCGGTTCAGTTTTTATACATCATCATGATGTATATTTCAGCTTATCCTGTTGCGATGTCAGTTCGAAATACGAACGTGTACGAGGAAAGATCTTTGGGTATCTTTAACGAATCTGTACCGGGCGAGCAAGATGAGCCTGAAATGGGCGGACCTCGTGTTTGGGGAACATATCTTGCTGCACATGCACGTCGTCAATTGGCATTTGACATGTGGTGGTTAGGATTTGCACTTTGGCTGGTTTGCATCATTGAAAGGGAAAACATTCAAGACCCTACAACCGATGGATGGTTTACCGTCTTTTCGTGCTTGTTCGAATTAACGTCCGCTTATGGTACTGTTGGTTTGAGTACCGGAACACCGGTTGATGATTTCAGCTTATCAGGTCGCTTCCATACACTGTCAAAATTGGTGGTGATTGCGGTAATGTTGCGCGGTCGTCATCGCGGTTTACCAGTAGCAATCGATCGAGCTGTCTTACTTCCAAATGAACTGGAAGTCGAAGATGATGCGCAAGAGCGTGCTTACACGATCGATGAGGACGGCTTTATTCAGACTAGATCTTCTTATCATTTTGGAAATGATGACAATCCTGTGCGCCCCGTTCAACATACATGAAATGATCATGAAATGTAACAACTCTTTTTTTTCTCTTCATTACAGGTTACATTGTACTTTAGCTATACCTTATTATATCATATATCGAATGCCAGGGTGTCGATCACCCAGACGAGCGAATTCCTCATTGGACAAATGTTCTAGATTCCAAAATGCTCTTGCTTCGTCATCGGTCAAGGGTTTAATCTGATGATGAAGTTTGACTTCATTTTCTTCTTCCTCTCGAACTTGGGCTGGATAAACTTGCATCGCTGAAGCCAAGATGGATGGATCGATGGATTTGATAGGAAACTTTTTCTCTCTCTTGTGATTCTCGAACCACAATACCAACGTCAACAAAGAAGCAGAAACAATTGCGATGACTATACAAATCAATCCCGCTAAATGAGCATGCCAAAACAAAGGGGCATCAGTTGGAGGAAACAGATTAACACTGATTAACGTTGCAGACGTGTGGCTCAATAGACAAAGAGCCAAAGTCGCCATCTTTGTGTATTGCGGTCCGATATTTCCGGCGCACCACACTGTGATTAAGGTATTGCAAGGACCACTGAAGCCGGCGATTAGATACATTGCACCATAAGTAACGCTTTTCGAATGAATATCGAAAAAGATCAAAAATTGGCCAATGGTGATCAACGACAAACACGGCAAAAGCAATGAAGATCTCATCCCTTTTCGATCTGCCAAAACTGCACAGATTAGCATGATGAAAACGGAAAGTGCTAATGGACCAGCGCTTAGAAGGTTAATCTTTGCACCTTCATAACCCATCTCTTTGATGATCATTGGACCGAAATTGGCGATATTACTACTTGCTACTTGACTTGAGGCAGCAGTGATAGAATAAAGGTAAATCTTTAATTCGGTAAACGGGCGTAAAACTTGATGCCAAGTGAAATCATTCAACCTACGAAGAGGTCCAGATTGACGATGTAGATGAGAGATCCACATCTTCCTCTGAAAAGGTTGCAAAACAGGAAATGAACTTGGTCGACAATCTTGAAGGATTTTGACCAGACACGGTACCCGACTTTTTCCTCTCTGTATTTGTCTCTCTCCATTCGTCTTAAAGCGGTCTCCATCTTGTTCGACAAGATTCGGCAAAAGCCAATATCCCGGAAAAGAGATCAGAATCGTTGTGAGACCTTCAACGCAAAACATCCATTGCCAACCTTGCAAGCCGTCCATTCCGTCTAATTGATAGAATCCAGCCGTAACACAAGCACCTATTAAGCCAGAAATTGGTGATGCAAGATGGAGTAACATCAATCTAGTTGCAATCTTTTCCATTGGATACCAACTGGCAAATAAGATTGTTATACAAGGCGAAAGTGAACCTTCAAACATTCCCAATAATAATCGTCCAAGTGCCATCTGGGTGAAATTGGTACAAAATGTGAGACAAAACGTTGTCACACCACACCAAAGTACAGTAGTGGGTATCAAGCGTCTAGGTCGTAATTGTGCTAGAAAGATTCCCGAGATATAATGGAGGATCAAATAGCAAGGAAAGTATATCGATAAGAGGCCGGCAAATTGGTTCCCTTTCAAATGCAAATCCGCATCAAAATCTCTTGCATGCGCTTGACCGAGGTTATGCTTATCCAATTGTGAAAAGAAATAGACAGTCACTGCAAACGGTAAGAGGCGAACGTCTATTCTGCGCAGTATTTGACCATAAAGAGATCTTGTGAGGTCATCTTTTTCTTCATCATGGACTCGGATATCTTCCTTGAAGGACAACGAATCATCTTTTTTGGTTGTTGTATTCAGGTCAATTTCGCGAAAATCGTTCTCGTTTTCTATTTTTTCTGGTGAAGGCGGATGAACCAATGTTGATACACCGTCACTCGTATTCATCTTCCTCAAATGATTTTGGTCTTTAACAATCGTGGAAACCATATCAAATGGTACCTTTTGTTCAACAAAATAAGTGGGTCAAAATCTGACGAAAAAGAGGAAATACATGTGTGCATTTATAGATCTATGGGGTCGCCAATCCAGTCTCGTACCCGGGTGATCATCTCTCATCCTCTCGACATCGCCCCTTTTCGTACGCCTCATTTTGATGAACCGCGAACACGTTGGCATATACATATGATCGCGAAGGTGCATTTGCTCGAGATTTGTTCTTTGTGCACGGGTCTTGGCATCATCCGTGCATTAAGAACGTTTGCCCCGCTCGACCAACACAACAGATACACTTGAATCAAGCACTGAATGCTACTTGATGAAACGTGTACAATGCACTGCCTTGAAAGGCATTCGGAACTTCATCCATCCTGATCTCAATCCGCGCAACTGAATCGTATACCAGAAGCGCGGCGCAGCATAGCATATAGGCTGAATACCTGCACTGAAATGAATTCACCATACAACTCTCGCCGAACGATTTGTATATCCGTTCCCTATCCTGTCCAAAGAGCCTTCTTTTACGTTTTCGTCGAATGAACGATGCTCGTCTGCGTTCAAACAAGATGTCCGCGGGATGCACAAAATAAGAAAGAGCAAGAATGATGAATCGGCTCTATGGATAGGTCGAACATATGGCGAACGTCAGTTTCGGGGTCAGATGTGTAAATGACATGTTGCGCTTGCTACTCATTTAGCAGACTTGACCCAACAAGTTGGTCTCGACATGTCACTACTGTAAGATTCGCTTGCACTAAATCAATCCCCCATTTCGCATCTGCCAGCAAACGGTCGCATGAATTTGGAAAAACTGCCGCAGTATATACACTCGAAATAAGTCCGTCTCTTCAATAAATACTCGAATTCCCTCGCCAAGCTCTTTGTCCAGTTCTCAATGCATACACTCACTTTCATGTCCAACGGACTATCAGAATGAACTCTATGGACGGGTAGAACATATGTCGAGAGTTATTTTCAGGAACAACGTATAAATGACATGTTGCACGTCCTTCTCATTTGACAGGCTTGACCCAATGCATACACTCACTTTCATGTCCAACGGACTATCAGAAAATAACCATCATCGCACCGTTGAAAGTCCATCTGACAGTCTTTGATTATCTACTCTGCATGCATGATTGACACAATGGAAAGGGCAAGAATCTTCTTCTTCAACTCTATGGACGGGTAGAACATATGTGGAAAGTTATTTTCAGAACCAAAGTATAAATGACATGTTGCACGTCCTTCTCATCTGACAGGCCTGACCCAATAAATCAGCCTCGATATCTCACTATTGCAAGGCTCGTTTGCTGAATTCCTTTTCGATATCATATCTGCCAGCACACACAATTGCATGAATTTGACAAGTTTGCAGAATGTATGCACCTAAGAGAGGTCTGTCTTTTGTATAAATACTCGGATTCCCTTTTCAAATTCATCCCAGAACCACCACCCACTTCCACACGCTCTCCCTTCGCAAAAAGGCGCCCATCTGACTCCGTTCTGAGCATCGATGTTTCCCTAAGCTGGATGAAAGCATCGTGCAACAAGCTCGACAGATGGTGAAGGGTAAGGGTCTTGCTTTCTCTGCTTTTTCTTCTCACTCTTTCCCCTTTTCCCCTCACACGCTACTCCCCTCTTAAAAGTCGCCCATCTGACTCCGTTCCTTGAACTTGATGCTCCTGAATCTGGGCGAGTGATTTCCCATGGATGGAC